GTCAATTCGAAATTAATGTTTTTCTTTTTGAGACATGATCTCCACCTATGCAGTCCAGGTTGGCTTTGAACTCACTGTGTAGTCTAGGCTGGCCTTGAACTCTCTGGAATGATCCTCAGCTTTCTGAGTGGTAGACTATAGACATGCACTACCATGCCTGGTATCTTGAAATTAGTCTTAATCATTTGTTTCCATGCTTTACATTCCCCTTGTCCTTTTTTTACCTTCAGGTTCCAAACCCTTTTGGAAGCTGCTTAATGCTGATTTTGGGTCATTATCCTTTAACACTTTGGTATTATAATACTGATTTTCCAGATCCAGAGTATTCCAGGTTATAGTCATCCTCATTATCTCCTTTTAATTTAATTTATTTGTGTTTTTAGAGTCAGGGTTTCATTACACAGTCTGGGCTGCTCTTGAACTCACTTTGTAGCCCAGGCTGGCTTCAAACTTGCAGCAATCATCCTGCCTTAGCCTCCCCAAGTGCTGGGATTATAGGTATGCAGACCATGCCCAGCCTTCCTCCTTTTTATTTTTGAAACATGGTCTTACTAAGTGTCCTTTGAACTCATGATTCCTTTGCCTCAACTTCCCAGAATTCTGGGACTACTGGTGTGAGGTACCATACCAGCTATAGCTGTTGCTTTTTTGGAGTTGACATGTGCTTTGTTGAAGTGATATTCCCCTGTAGAAAGTATAGCTAGATTGACTGTAGTCTGAGTCAGCAGATTATTTTAGGATTTTGTGGACTGCTTTTGAGCTGTTCCTTTTGATACCATGAGAGTTTATAGCTGCTTGACTGCAATTTTGAGGTGAGAAATCATGTTTTTGAGGTGAGAAATCATTTCTCTTTGTGTTCTGCAAATCTGTCATGGTGTCTTGAATGCTACAGGTTTATTGAAGATAGTATTGCTTAGAGAGCAAGCATACATCTAACTCCTTGTTTACCTTCTCTATTTGCCTTATGAATATGTTTTCTAGGACTTCTTTAAAGTTAGCTCTTTAGTATTTGCTTCAGAGGAGGGATAAACAATTCGAAGTGAAATAACCATATTTGATTTTGAGTATATACCTTCAAATGTGAATATACTTATTTGAATTAACTAAAATAACACAAAACAGTGTTGCAGGCATGTAGAGCAAGTACCTTAGTTACTTTTCCCATTACTGAAACATAATACCTGAAACCCACACTTTAAAAAATGGCGTATTTTAGCTTGTAGTTTGTCAGTCCATAATCAACTGGTTACAAGACAGGGCAGCATCTAGAGGAGCATGGCAGAGGAAAAACAATTCGTGGCATGGCAGACAGGAAGGAGAGCAACATCAAGAGAGAAGAAAGGATGTATATATACACCCACACCAACAGTCAACCACCTCTTTCTGCCAGGCTTTACCTCCAAATGTCACATCCAGCTGTAGACCCCAGTCAGCTCCCAAAAGCCCTACCATGAGGCTTTGGTACATGTAGATGCCATTACAGCAAGAGGTGGTGGCCATTGTTTTACCCTGCAGTTCATTCATTCAGTATTGGGGCTAGATATGCAGAATACTAATGTAAGCAGTGCATCCTCTCATAGCTTTCTTTATTAGCAGTAGAGATATAGGGGCTGAGGAGATAGCTCGGTGATGTAAGCACCTGCCTGGCAAGCACAAGGACCTGAGTTCAATCCCTTGTACCGCATGCAGTGCTGGCCCTGCGCCAAGCCACCCACTGAACCTGGGCATGGTGGTGCATGCCTATAATCCCAGTGCTGAGGAGGCTGAGACAAGAGAACCAATATGTGTCTGAGATGTGTAGCAAGACCCTGTACCAAATAAATAAAAGATTTAAAAATAAACGACTAATAGATGATGATAGCTGAAAGAATTTAGAATTACATTTTCATTGAGCTTTTTCATGCATATATAATACATGCAATTAGATAGACAGGGCACATGTTATGCCCTATTATAGATGAAAAGGCTAGATCAGATAAGTTTTTTATTCAAGGTCACATGCCTAGAAAGAAGTAGCCCTGAAATTTAACCTCCAGTCTTTTGATTCCTAGCCCAGTGCATTTGTGTGACATCTAACCACGTGTATTTCATAGGACTTTAGGCTCCTTAAGTGTATAAGGGGAAATAGTCCTACATGATTGAAGAAAATTTTAATAGGTGACTCTTTTGCATCATTAACAAGTGAGTATGGTTGAACATTTTCTTTTCCCAAATAGTATGCAATGATAAATTCATATTATCTTCTGTTAAGGAAATTCTGAGCATGATTAAAATCTCTATGCTATATAGCAAATTGATACAACTTTAACCACACCTTTGGAAACAGATCTTGCCCAATAAGCCCATGAAAGGAAAGACAAGGCCACATTTACTAAAAATCTGTTACTGCAGACCTTTCCAGAGTTACTTCAGAATTTGAGATTTGAAAAAATTCCTTTCAGTGCTCAGCATCAAACCCCAAGGTCTTGTACATGCTAGACACAAATCTTACCTCTGAGCTATTTTCTCAACCATTAAATTTCAACTATTGTGAAAGCATTTTAGTTATGCCAGCTCATAAAAATAGCCATGGAATTATGCTTTTTTGATATTCATGCAGTTTGTACTGTCTCCTAAAATCTGTTAATATGTAACTGCTATCAATGTAAAACAGCAAGTAAATAGCAAGAGCCCACACTCAGGAGGCTGAGGCAGGAGGATTGCTGTGAGTGTGAGGCCAGTGTGGGTTATAAAGTGAGTTCAAGGCTAGCCTGAACTGCACAGCAAAACCCTGTCTCAAAAAGAGAAGGAAAGATAGCTTGATTTAATTCAGCGTTTTTACTAGGTTCATCCACATTGTAACATGGTTCCATGTCCTTTTTTATTTTTTTAATTTTTAATTTTTAAATTTTTTATTAACTTTATTGAAAATCAATAATTACATATATTAAAAATTGTAAACAAATATTGAAATGTGAAAGATAAGATATAGACAGTGATTTTAAGAGTAATAGTTCTGAAATGAATGCATCACATGAGATTAATAGATTGCACATTGTAAATAAGTTATTTATAAACTTAAGTGAATATAACAATAAAAATTGTCCAAAATAAAAATGAAGAATTTACAAATCAGTCATATAATATTTTTAAATTTTTAAATCATTTTATTTGTTTATTTAGTACCGAATCTTACCATGCAGCTCAGACTCATAGTAATCCTCCTGTCTCAGCCCCTCCAGCACTAGGATTATAGGTGTCCACCACCATACTGGGTTTTGGTGGCTGGCACAGTGCACCCAGGGTTCTGGGGCTAGCACAGTATGCAGTACCAGGGATCAAATCCAGGTCCTTCTGCTTGCCAGGCAGGCAGTTAGACCACCAAGCTATCTTCCCAGCCCTTCCATGTCCATTTGTGGCTGAATAAGTTTCCATTGTGGGCTGGTGAGATGGCTCAGTAGTCTAAAGCACCTACTTAGAACAAGCTTAGCAAAGCACAGGGACCGCGGTTCAATCCCCCAGCACCACATGCCAGCCAGCCCCGCCCCCTGGTGGGCTGAGCTGGCCACACACACACACACACACAAATAAAAATTTAAAAAAATAAGTTTCCATTGTATGGATATTTCATAATTTATCCGTTTATCAGTTAGTGGACATTTGAATTTTGGCTGTCATGAATAATTCATTAAAAATTTATGTACAAGTGTGTGGACCTGTGTTTTCATTTTTCCTGGAAACATACCTAGGAGTAGAATTACTAGATCATGTGATAACTGTTTCAAACAATGCCTGCCTTTTTTGTTTCCTTGAGCTTTGGGTAACATTTAAGAAAACATTGCCTAACCTGTGGTTATGAGGATCACTTTCATATTCTGTGTGTTTTACAATTTTAATTTCTGACATTTGGTCTTTGATACGTTTTAAATTAATTTTTTTAAAATTTTATTTATTTGTGTGTGTGTGTGTGTGTGTGTGTGTGGCCAGCTCAGCCCACCAGGGGGCGGGGCTGGCTGGCGTGTGGTGCTGGGGGATTGAACCGAGGTCCCTGTCCTTTGCCCAGCTTGTTCTAAGTAGGTGCTTTAGACTACTGAGCCATCTCACCAGCCCTAAATTAATTTTTATATCTAAATATAAAATAGGACAAGAGTGGTGATACCTGCCTGTAATCCTAGCACCTGGGAGGCTGAGGCAAGAGGATTACTGCAAGTTCAAAGCCAGTCTGGACTACAAAGTGAGTTCAAGGCCAGCCTGAACTGTATAGCAAAACTCTGTCCAAAATGCATACACACACAAAATAGGGGTTTGAATTAATTATTTTGGGTCTCAGTGTCAGGCTTTGTAGCACGATTATTTTTTTCTTGGTACCAGGAATCAAATTCATGAGCTTGCACTTGTCGAGTAGGCACTGTGCTGCTGAGCTATATCCCTGGCAATTTGTTTGTAACACTATTCTTTCCCAAAAGGAATTGTTTTGGCACCCTCGTCAAAAAAGCAGTTAATCATAAATGTAGGGTTTGTAGGTGGTATTTTTAATGTGACTATTGTAATCAATATTTTTTGTCTTTTGTTGCTGTCTTTTTTTAAATGTATTTAGTACAGGGTCTCACTACACAGATCAGAGTCATAGTAATCTTCCTGTTTTCAGCCTCCCAAGTGCTGGGATTACAGGTGCATACCACCACACCCTGTCTCAGTGCACCCCTGGGACATGGTCAGCACAACATGCCAGGAATCAAAACCCAGTTGCTGGGCCTGCCAAAGCAGGTGCATTAGTCTGCTGAGCTATCTGGCCAGCCCTGTTGTTGTCTTTTTGAGATCAGGTTTCACTATGACAATTTTATATATAAATAGAATGGCGTTTTTAGGCTGGCTTGAACTCACTCTGCAGCCCACACTGATCTTGAACTTACAGTGAACCTCTTGCCTCAGCCTCCTGAGTGCTGGGATTACAGGTATACATATCCATGACCAGCCACTGATAATCAATTTTTTAAATATATGTATTGCTTTTTTCATAGGTTACTATTCGAGCATCACTTGGACCACCTCAGTCAAAACCACCAGGTACACCTTCCAATTCTGCTCCAAGTTCTTCTTCTCTTCAAGTCTTACCTCTTGAATCAAAAAATACAACTGCCAAAAATCTCACAAAATCTAAGACAACTAAGCCTCAGGCAACTGTGTCCAGTGCAGATACACCTAATACAAGTAAACCGAGTGGAGGTACAACTAAATACAAAGCAAAATTCTCTTGCAAGCAAAAGAGACAGCGTAACAGAAAAAGTAAACTCAACTTGGCTTTGACAAACTTAAGGTACACTTTCCTGATATACAATACTAATATAAAAATTATATTTTAAGCTTTTGTTTTCATATACCGTGTCATAGAATCTACTGGAACATTTACATGATAATCACTTATGTGGCGTAAAGGCTAAGCAAATGATTAAAAGTTAACTTTTGTATCTGCTTAGCAGAACTTGAATCTTGTACACTGAGTCTTGTATTTTATACCTTTATCTTATGATAATAGATTTGGCTAATTTGATCATTTTTATTCCAGGAAAAATATGAACTGGTATTAGACTTTTTATACTTGTTCTAGTTTATTGCTTCAAAGCAGTTTTCAACTTTTTTGTCCTTTTTGAGATAGTATCTCACTATGTAGTTGAGGCTGGCCTTGAACTTTGTGGCCCAGGCTGGCCTCTAGCTCACAGCAATCCTCCTGCCTCAGCCTCCTGAGTGCTGGGATTAAAGGTGTGTGCCACTATGCCTGGCATAAGTGTCTATTTAAGGATATTAATTTAACTATCTTGTCTTCAATTCATAAATCATTAATAGGTTTTTTCTTTTATTATTTTTGTCCTAACAGTATATTTTATCATTTTTTTGTCTCCGTAAGGTGTCTTCGGGGAATTTACAAGTGTATCGAATGTCGTACCAAAATAAAGGATTTTGCAAACCACTTTCCTATATTTGCCAACTGTAATTTTTGCAAATATAGCACTAACTGTAACAAAGCCTTTGTAAGTCATATGGTAAGGTAAGTTAAGCATGTAAAATTCAAGCAGAATTACCCTTCACCTCCATGATAAAGTATTTGCTTAGCATGTACAAGATCTTAGGTTTACTCTCTAGTACTCTACAGCAAATGTTCAAGAAGTTTACTTTTTGAAAACATTTTTCTTATTAGAAGTATATTTATCTCATCAAAGAGGTAAAAGAATCAAATAAAATGGAATTTCTAGGATAGTCTTTGTATTTTTCATGTAAATACTGAGACAAAAATTAGAATTATTAGACTAATGAAGTTAGAATAAATTTATTAGGGAAATGTGTTTTTCTATGGAATTTATGTTTTTAAGTAAAGGAGTTTCTAAATATGAAATTTTTTATTTTCAATGTATTTACAAAATTAATACTTAGCCATGAGTTATTCTCTTCAAAATGAATGCCTAACCTTGCTATCTTTGAATCTCATTTTTTTTTCCTTTGTGGTTATTTCTAGAGTAGCAAGCTGTACTTGATTGTGAGCTCTGAATTCATAATCTTTAATGTTCACTTGATCGTTTTAAAAAATATATCTATTTGAACACATCATTTGTGACCTTCACGTTTTTATTGTCTCTCAGCTATTAACCTTGCCTGCGTATTGCACAGAAACCATTGGTTTTGTTTTTCCCAAGTGTCTTTTCTATCTACATTTTCCCCCTTCATCTAGACATTAACATCAGAAAATAGTTATGTCCCACTTTTTTATAAAGTTGTCTGTTTTTACTTTCCTGCATTTCCTCTGTAGCATTAGTTATTGTGACCCTTCACTTCATATCTCTACCACTTTGATTCTGCCTACAGATGCTTTCAGATATGTTTTAAGATAAGGGAATTTGCCTTAACTTTATATTTTTTGTTTGTCTTCCTTTTATACTATCAATGTGTGTAAGAAAAATATTCTTGCTTTTATCCCGTCTAGCTAAAGCTGTTCCTGTGAAATTCTTCATTAATGTCCTAATTGCTAATTGTGCATACTAAGCAAGCACTCTACTATGCTCACTCACTTTCGAAATTACTCTCTTCAACTTGTGTTAAACTGCCTGTTTTTCTTTTCTTTTTGGCTACTCCTGTAAATCATTACTCTTCTTCCTCCAACCATTCTTGTCCAGTTATATTCCCTTTCTTAGTACCTTAACCATTCTCAGAACCTCATTGTTTTTCCTTTTTACTATAAATCCTCTGATTTCAGTGCTGAGTTTTCCCAAATCCATTTCTTTATTTCTAACTATTTGATATTTTTCACTTTTAACCTACTTTGCATACATAAAATAAGTAAATATTGTTTAAGATTGAGAATACTTTTACTTTAATATCCACTAAGCTCAGTCTGTTTCAGAGTAGTATTTACATAAATGTGAAGCACCAGTATGAAATAATTCATTGTTCCATGTTTCTAGATCTCATGGAGTTCTCTTGACAAAATTCTACCTTCTGTTTTCCACTCAGTTTGCTTTAAACCAGTCACCCTTTTCCTTAGTACTCTTTTGGAAACAGTCTGTTACTCTGTATTAAACACATGGTTACTAATGTGGCCTTGATTATGCCCATAATTTATAGAAGACTAAATTGGAAAATATTTTGGGCATTTTTTAAACCTACTTGTGCTAGTCAGATTTTCATCACTGTGAAAAAGCACCTGAGGTAAACAACTTATAAGGAAGAAAAGCTTGTGTTCAGAGATTTCAGTCCAAGATTGGGTGGTTCCATAGCATTTGGACTTGTGGCAGGATAGCACATCATGGTACATAGCATTGTAGCATCTTGGAGTGGCTACTGGGAGGCAAAGAGAGACAAAGAGAAACAGGAAGGGTTTGGCTTCCTAATAACCCTTTCAGGGACACTTCTTCAGTGACCTAATTGACTTGCACTAGGACCCACCTCTTAAAGGTTTACCACCTCCCAGTTGTACCAGAAGATAGCAACAAAGCCTTTTGCATATGGACTTTGAGAGACATTTAAAATCCAAACTATGATACCATCTGTCTTTTCCTGTCCTATTTTTCATAGACATCCCAAATGTCTTCTCTGATCCCATTTTGTACTTGGGCATTCTCAATATGTTCCAGGCTAGACCAGGCATAGTGGTGCACACCTGTAATACCAGTGCTGGGGAGGCTGAAAACAAGAGGATCACTATGAGTCTGAGCTGCATATATATAAGACCCTGTACCAAATACATAAAATTATATTTTTTTCCAGGTTTTTTTCTTGTGAGTTCCAGACCTCCAGTATCATCCTATGATTTCAGCTCTTACTCATCTTTAGACTCATAAAACTGAAAACATACACTTCTCTAAAGGCTTTGTTGGGTCCCTTTTAATCCCTACTTCAGTTGTACCGTGTTTCCATTTTTACTGAAGCAGTAACTCCCCTAAATGCTTCACTGTCACTCTTACCTCTCAGTATAGAATTTTTCTCTTAGGCTTGAACTCTGTACATATAGAAGCTTCATTTTCTCTGAGGTTGATACCTTTATTCTTAGCCTATATAGACTCTGTTGCTAGAAGACAGCCCCCCCATGATTAGTTTTCAAAGGATAGTTTTCTATATTCAATATATAAAGTGCCTTTTTCTGATTTTTTGTTTTCTGTTTGTTTTTAAGACAAGGTCTTACTCTTATTGTAGTTCATGCTGGCTTTGAAATCACTATGTAGCCCAGGTTGGCCTGGAACTCACTGCAATCCTCCTACATCATCCTTACAAATGCTGGGATTACTTATGCGCACTATCACGCCTGGCTTCCTCACTTATTCCCTGGAATGACCCCTCCTTCTTGGGATCATCTCTTTCTTTGAGTTCTATAGCATTGAGTTATTTTGCCTTACCTAAGTGCATTATCTCCTTCAGAGCAAAGTTCTTTGTATTTACCATGGCACCTATACTGAGGATACTTTCTTGAAATTATAGTAGCCACAATCTTCCTTTCACCATGTATGTATACTGTCTTACTTGTTTTCTCATCACTGAGACATAATAGCTAGCACCTACAGTTTAAAGGAAGAAAGGCTTATTTTGACTCAGTTTGTAGAGGTTTTGGTCTATAATCAGCTAGCTCAGGGGTGGGAGTGGCAGAGGAGAAACAGTTCATGGCAGGCAGGAAGCAGAGTGGGGTCAAGGTTCAAGAAGGAAGAATGTGGGGCTGGGGAGATGGCTCAGTGGAATAAGTGCTTCCCTGGTAAGCGCAAGGGGGAAGAATGTATATTTATATCCTTTCTAGGCTTTGCCTACAGTGACCCACCAGGCTTCACGTCCAAACATCACACCTAGCCAATCAGTGAACTAATCCATTGTCACACTTCAGTAATCTAGTATCACACACCTATGATGCAGCCAGTTCCCAAAAGCCTAACCTGTCAGAGCATGAGGCTCTGGGGACGTATCCAAAATACTCATGTATATTCCTTAAAGCAAAATGTATTTAATTCATCTCTTAAGAGTTGCCAAAGTCCTAACAGTTGCAGCACTGCTAAAAAGTTCAAGTTGGGGCTGGTGAGATGGCTCAGTGGTCTAAAGCACCT